TTTTTATTAAGAATAATAAGATATTTTCTACTATAAGCAAAATCTTTAATCCATTCGCTTACTTTTTCATTTTATTTTGTCTAGAAGAAAAGATGGATAAACTTTTGTGAATTTGCAAATCAAACTCGTAAGAAAAACATTTGAAAATTGTGCAATCAAACATTATTGACATTTCCGTTATTGAAACTAAGATTTTTTTGGCTAATGTGTAGCTAAATTCTATTAATCCATATTTACACGGAAGGGAATGAATACCTTGCCAATCGCATGGAGTAGAACCACGCTCATGGCCGACAAGGGGACGGGCTCTGATTGGGCCTAATTTTCATAAAACAATTCTTAGACATGGCCGACAAGGGGATGGAGTGATGGACCCGGATATTCTCAGCCATTACGTTAAAGTAATAATATGATTAACGCTTTTGGACACGGTTTTTCCTCATCTTTAATTCCTTGAGAGAAAGTCATAAGAATAATTGAAGTTTATTAATCCAATACACATTCTTTCGCAATCAAACTTTTTAAGGCATACCTGTTACGTTGAAGTAGTGCTTGACGGGACGATGAATTAGAATAATTACTTTTAGTAACTTTCTTTTCAAAAAATGGTGATATCACAAACATAGCATAGGTGATTAAGTTAAATGTTATGCCTATAAAAAAACCTAGTATTTTCGGTGTTTAGATGCGGAACATCCATAACTTGATCACTAAGCGCACGACATGTTTTTAGTAATGGTTCTTCTACAAAGCCATAATTTTGCATCTTGATTCTAAATAATCGTTGTTATTTATTAGATTCTCCAGGAACTATTTTGTAAGGATTCAATTAAAAGAATCTCTTTTTTAGAGGTGTTTGTTACATTTTCATTTCATTTTTTGTAAGGACAAATCTTGCGAGCCCTTTTTATTAATCTCAATATAATCATCAAAATCAAGGACGCGAAGGGTCACTGAATTATATCAGTATATATAAATTAAAATATACTTAAGATAATTGCAGTTTACTTGAGAACGTAAACCATAAAGTACTAAATTATATCAAGAGAATGACAAACTAAAACCTTATAAATAGTACTAATTTGCATTTAAAGTTCCATGGTTACAAGTTATGTAGTTTCACCTACACTTATTCGACATCAGGAGGGTGTATTCAATTGAAACTTTTAATGACTTTTTGAGATTTAAAAAGTTTAGGGGTATTCAATTGAGAATTTTTGAGACTCTCTAAAAGTCATGGTGTATTCAATTAAGACTTTTATAGACTTTTAAAAAGTCTCTAAAAGTTACGGTGTATTCAATTAAAACTTTTTAGAAATCTCTATAAGTCTTACGGTATTCAAATTTTAATGACTTTTAGAGACTTTTATAAAAGGCTCTGACGTACTAATTTTTAAGCAGAAAGTACTCATATAATATCTTAAAATTTGTCTCTCATTAATCACGAGATTTTGGGAGACTTTCACAAAAAAAAAAAACTTTTTTTTTTCAATCTTTCTTTCCTTTAATCTTTTATGGACATGTATAATTAAAACTTATTTTTTTATTTATTATATTCCATTTATTTTTCTTTCTCTCTCTTATTATTTATCTCTATTTCTATAAAAAAAAAAAATCAAATTGGATTCTTATAACTTTTTTTTCTTTTTTCATTCATTTTTTGAGAAAAATACCTATTTTTTATTAAATTATGAAAATTTATAATTAAATTTAAATATATTAATTTTTTTATTTATTTTTAAAAGTATACTATATTAATAATATTAAATCCTATATATATGTATACTTTTGATTATTAATTATTTAATTAAAGTCTTCAATTTTTATTTTTTCAAATTCTTTTTTGTTATATGGGAAGAAGAAGTGAAAGTAAAAGGGGAATTATGGGAACTAACATCTCGTGTGTGAGAATCTCATACCTGATCCATGTGAATTCTATTTCAAATGAAAGTCTTCAAAAGTCTACAAAATTTTAAAATGAAAATCCATAGAAGTCTACGAAAGACTTCAACTAATTCCATACAAATCTTTAAAAGATCCACGAAATCTACAAAAGTCATCACTTAAAAAAAGTCCATCAAAATTTTCAAAAGTCCCAATTGAATACACCCCCCTTAATATTTTCTCTCTTTTATGAATTCTCAACACACATCTCAATTCTCAAGCATGATTGGAAGTTGTACGTCAAGGGTACTTGATTAAATGGTTATCCAATATCGTTGATCAAACTTCATTATGATTCTTAGGGAATAAATTTTTGGCATCTGATTCCTAGTTTTCCGACGGATCATGTCCAACTTTTCAAACATTATAAAAAATTGAGAGGACCATAGGGATTTGATAATATATTGGAGAATGCCCTGCGTACAGGGCATTCTTTCACAGGGTGCCTACAGGCCCCTCATTGTGCGGAGGGGCCCACCTATATTAAAAAAAAATTGTGGGACCTACCTTGTGTCTTTCCTGGCAGGTGACTGTAAATCACGCCCCTGTAAATGTAGCTTCGCCCTAATATATTCTTGGTTGTCAAGCTTTGTTGCACTTGCAGAGAAAAAGCAATGAAGTTTCGGGTACTTTCCATGTCATTGAAACCTGAGACGGCTTTGACACGTGTTCTTAAAGAAGAAAAATACACGCCTTTTATTTGGATGACAAGGACAGCAGATCTTATCCACCCAACTTTAAGTTGATAACACCTCTAACAAACAATGTCAAGAATAGGGATTATTAATTATCTGTATTTTCTCTATTGCTATGAATTTATTGGCAAAAGTCGTAGATTTAATAAATTGCATTTGAAGGGCTTATAATTAACTTTTCTTAAGCGTAAAAAATGCTTATGAATTTATTGGCAAAAGTCGTTGCCAACCCAACTAGCAAATTGGGCGATTTTAATTTAAAATAAAAGTATAGAAATCTTTTTGATACACGATATGGCATTGGAACAAATGCTTATGAAAGGTTAGAGATCCGCGATAAAATTTACCGTAATAATTAACATTAGATAACTACATAGATGCTTTTGTTTAATTGTTGAAACCTATTGCAAAATCAAATTTCCTCGAGGCTTTGCTTGAAATTTTGATATATTGCTATTACACATAGATTCTTAAGTTTCAACAATTTTTAAGAAGTCTCTAAGAACCTCTAAAGGATAACATTAATGATTATTCGCAGTTTATATATTTTCACAACCTAGAATATTACAAAGATGCAAAGTTATACAAATTATCAACATATGTATGATGAAGAATTAAAATCACCAAGTTCATCCTAACAAAAAATAAGTAAAGAACAAATTTATGGTAAGTTCACAATCTTCTTACATGTTTTTGGGAATCTGGTCAAGTTATTTTCTCTCAGTAACGGGCCAATTTGACTCTTGACCAACATATAATTATTATAATGGAATATTCACAGTACTACAAGTGCACCAGGGATCATGCCTTGTGACCAAGGACTATGTGTAGATCCTTACATAGAAAGAGAACAAAATATTAAGGATCTTGCTGCATGTACATCGATATTTATATAAGGGATTGTATAATGTCCATATGACACTCTATCATTTGTCAATTTAAAATATAGTCAACTTTTTCATCAGATTTTTCCCTCCTCACCATTTTCGATAACCACTTATGTACTATTTTATGTACAAGTAACAAAATTCAAATATTAAACCATCTTTAACAAGTGGGACCAAGACCTGGATATCTATATATAAGCAACTGAAACAATCAAACCTCGTTTAAATTAATGCAAACTACATTAATCCAAGAATAATGTCATCTCTTGATCTTAGATATGCTTTCCTCTTTCTCATAAACATTCTTAAATCACAAACAGCAATGCCCTGGGAATGGGATCCATTTTCTATAATATTTGATAGTCCCACATGGATGAAATTTTGGTTTCTGGCTATGCTTTTCTTCGTCTTCTCCTTCATCTCTATTGAAATCCGATTGACACCTCCAGCACACCATATGGGATTTTTACGCATTCAAGTCAAGAATTATTCAGTCTCCCTAATGGTTTCTTTCTTGGCTGCACTATTCTTCCCACAAGTTGTATTCTGGTATATTTATCCCATAATTTTGCTGCTCTTTTTGTGCTCCACCTGTATCTCTAGCATGTGGAGGAGGGTTTTACTGAGTGTTAAACTTTTTCTGCCTACGATTCCTGATGTAAACATAATTATCACTGCCCCAAACATTGATGATAACCCCAACTCAGAAGTACAGCAGGAACCAGAACAAGAAATTCATGAGGGAACAACACAAGTTTAGGAGGACGTCGTTTCACTTCAAAACCAAGTTTAACTGCTATTGTTCCTTCTACTTCTTGTCCATTTTAATTTGCATATGTAAATTGCAAAGATTTTCTCGCAACTGGATCGAACGATATTAGCTTGTTTTTTATGTAGTATATATTGGGCATGTCTAGACAAATTTGGAAAGAAAGAAAAAAAAAAGTGAAAATCTTGTCTATTATATTATTGAATATATGTCGAATATTGATATTACATTTCAAAAGTTGCCGGTGTGTTAGTAGAATCTGCATGGAGCCTTAGATTTCGTTTGGCCCCAATAAGCTGTAACGTGCTGTGATTTACTACAACTGTCAGTGGCGGACGCAGAAATTTTGATTTAGTGGGGCACTGTCGAACTTAGCAAAAAGGTGATGAAAAAATTTAAATATTTGATATCTTATTACAATTGTTCTCTACGAGTTCTCATATTTTGATAACGTTCCATAATTGCGTCATTTTTAATATTGTCAAATACATCCTTCTCAATATATGCAATCAAACTATCATTCAACCATTGATCCCCGATTCGATTACGTAGACGATTTTTGACAATTGACATGGCAGAAAATGCTCTCTCAACTGTAGCAGTAGCCATGGGAAGAATTAAGGCTAATGTCACAAGCTTGTAGACTAATGGATAAACTTCATGTTTATTTTTCGCAACCAACTTCTGTGCAAGATCACCAAGGCCTTATAATTCTTTAAAATCTTCGTCAATGCGCATGTCAAAAATATATGTATCTAGTTGATCTTCGAGTTCCAAAATAGCTGTCGCATCAAAATCTCCGGGATAATACTGACATAGTCGAATCACTTTGTTCTTGTCAAAAGCAGCAAATGAATTATTTGGACATAAACACGCAACACAAAGGAGCAAGTCACTGTTTAGCTCAGAAAAACGATCATTCAGCTCTTGAAGTTGCATGTCAATGATGGCATAAAACATTTCCACACGAAAATGATGCAAATTTGTCACCGTATCACGTCGTGAACGACCTAGAGTTATGAACATATCATCCATATTGGGAACATTTATCTCATGAGCTTCACAAAACGAACAAACCATTCCAAAAAAAGAATCCCATCCATCATCTCTCATGGTTTGGAGCTGTGCTTTACATAATTGCACCAATCTCATAGCATTGATAATATCTTGATCTTTTCTTTGTAATGCTTTCGACAATTCATTTGAAATTCCCAAGATCTTTCTCATGAGATGTAGATTAAAAACAAATTCAAATTTTAACATCAATTCCAATAAAATACACGCATCACCTCTTGTTCCAGAACTTGTAGTGTCAGTAGCAATCATCTCAACAATATCAACTATGGTTGAGAACATGAGAATCAGGTTAATTAAGCAACTGTAGTGAGATCCCCAACGTGTATCACCAGAACGCTTAAGAGTAGTTTCTTGATTGAGACCCCGTCCACTTGATATTTCACCAACATTAAGTGATTCAAGAATATTCAGTCTTTGTTTCTCTCGAATAAGATCATTTCGTTTAGCTGATCCTCCTACAACATTAACCAATCTGTGTACTGAAGTAAAAAAAGTTTCAATCTTTGGATGTTTCTGTGCCACAGCTACAAGAGCAAGTTGAAGTTGATGAGCAAAGCAGTGAATGTAGTAAGCACTTGAATTTTCTTTCAAAATAAGTGTTTTGAGACCATTATACTCACCTCTCATATTGCTAGCTCCATCGTATCCCTGACCTCTCAAATTAGATATACTTAAACTATGTGTGGAAAATAATTGATCAATACCAGCCTTAAGTGAGACAGCTGTGGTACTCGAAACATGTATAACACCGATAAAATGTTCCAATACACGCCCATTCTTCACATACCGAATGACAACTGACATTTGCTCCTTAACCGAAATGTCTCGAGATTCATCAACTAAAATAGAAAACAAGCCATTACCCATATCTTTAATAATCACGTTTAGAATTTCAGAAGCAATAGCACTCACAATATCTTTTTGAACTCTAGGTGATGTTAATTTGAGATTTTCAGGTGCATTCGTCAAAGCAACAGCCTTAATCTCAGTATTGTGATCACACAACCAATGTAATAGTTCAAGAAAGTTCCCTTGATTGTTTGAATCGTCAGATTCATCATGTCCACGAAAGGCCAACCCTTGTCGTAGAAGAAATCGAACACAATCAATTGAAGCATTCAAGCGAATTCGATACTCTGTTCGAGTTTGAAGCGATTGCTTAAACAGACAAGATTGAATGCTTTGTTCTTGATTCTTAAATGATTCATACAGGACCCGAGCATGATTGTGTGCACTATTTGATGCCCCAACATGTTTTCTGATAATCTCTTTCCTTTTCCAATTTGAGAATCCACCATTAACAAATGAACCACCACTTGAGCTGAAAAGATAACAGTAAAAGCAAAATACAGCATCTTTTTCTATACTGTATTCCAACCAACTAGGATGCTCATTATACCATGAAACACAAAATCGCCTATCTTTGTTAGCCATCCTTGTGGGTGGAAATTCATGATTGCGAGGTTGACAAGGACCCCGTTGCACATATGTTCTTC